GGGCCAGTCGCTAGTGAGCATCAGATGAATTTTCAGGTATTGGTTTTTGTAAGACGAAACAGCTGTCCAGTACTCCTAGGTTTTCCAGTGGTTCTCTGTCTGATGTCAGCTCATGATGAAATCCTCTATGCAATCAAACAAAAAAAATCCCTACAAAACCGATACCTGAAAAAAGTGATTCTTAAAATTCAAGGATAGTTATCGCTAGTGAATCAGACAGTCACAAAAATTCAGCTTCGGGTTTTGTATATCTTATTTTCTGCTGATTAGAATTCATGAAAATTTTAAGAAAAATGGCAGGAATGGTTAAGATAATTCGTTTTAACTTGATATTTCCTGTCCTGCAAAATAATAGCTTCAACAAAACAAAAACGATAAATTGAGCAAGATAATATTATTATTATTATCCTAAGTGGAGCATAGGGCCTTAAAAGCACGTCTGGATTTTTTCCATTTAACCTGCAGTCATCTTTCACCGGCTCCACGATAGCTTATAGGCTCTCATCTCCTACTCAAACTACCTCCTTCATTTCACCTTCAGCCTCAAGACTAACAGCGCAGTTCCACTCAACGGTCGTTTCAGAGTGTATCCGGTTCACCTCCATTTCCAGCAGCATATTTTTGAGCAACACGTCCTTGGTTAGTTCTTTCTCAAAGTCTCTTGTTGCTAATTCCTGATGTTCAGTTTAGAGCCGACGAAGGTGACTGCTGATAAATGTCTGCAGAAGACCAAGGCATGCCATGTTTTCGACCCATATAGATGAACTGACTGACTTAATAATACTGGTGTTGGAAATCCGATTGTTTTCTTTTCTTTATATACTGAGTATGTCATATTTCCAAACTGATTTCAGAGTGATGAAGGTCTGCCTTACCTTTTCGATTCGAGTTTCAACATCTTCATCCCTGCTGTCACTTGTAACTGAAACAGTGTAGCCTACATGAGTGTAAGTGGTGACCTCTTTCAAATTTATTCCGTTCATAGTGACTGGTGCTTGTTGTTCTTGTCGATAGTGGTTATCCTTATCAGCTCCCTCCTCCCTATGTCCACCTGAGGTCCTACAGGATAACATGTCGTCATTTTATTTTGTCAGTCCTTTTCAACTGCTTATAACCTTAAACCGATTGTGAAACAAATAGGCAGGAAGAAATGGAGATGGATTGGCTGGTCATACTCTGAGGAAACACGCCATCAAGTGACATCACTAGACAAGCCATTGCTCGAGTGGAACCCGAAAGGGAAGCGATGAGTTAGTTGGTCGTCAGTTCGAGGGTGGGGTGACTTGGAGGAAGTCATATGAAGAGGAGATGAAAGCATGTGGACAGACCTGGAGCGGGGTGAAAACGTTGGCAGAAAACAGAAGGCAATGGAGATGCGCGGCTGAAGCCTTATGTTCCCCTAGGAATTAAAGGAAGTAATAATAATAATAAATAACCTTAAACAATTTTGATCCCAAAATATGAAATATCCAGATAATTTAGTTATTAATCATAAAAGTGAAGGACAATAATACTGTGTGATTAAGTAACATAATAGAAAGAAATAAAAGTCGCTGTTAAGCTTGTTAGTAGACAAAGAAGTATTTACAAGGACATTCTATAATTAGGGACGAATTAAAGATGTGTAAAAGATTACAACACATTTACTTGAGGGTTAAACACTTTAGCTGAACAGAAGTCGAAAAAATACTTCGGCCGAGTATAGATAAACAGAAAATCAAGGATGTAAATTACATTGTCGAAACTGTAAAAATAATCGAAGCAATCAATCAAAAGTAACAAAATCAAGTGAAAGATAAGCTACCTAGCTGTGCCACTTCCATGTGTATCTATAAATTTAGTTGCCCCTGTGGAGAAAGCTATATAGGCCGAACAGCTAGACAGCTTAACAAACGCATTAATGAGCATCTTCCTTCATGGTTCGGAAAAGGCCAAATAAAGTCCATACGAAGTTCTATTTTGGCTGATTTGATTGATAGCAGTTACCAAGTGGACAAAAATGGTGGCTTCAAAGTTATCTATCGCACTCCATCGTGTCTTTCGAACGGAATCAGAACCCGTCTTTTACACTTAGCCGAAGCTATGGGAATTCAAGAGAACAATCCTAGTCTTTGTATACAAAAGAAGTTTGTTCTACCTTTGTCTCTCCCTTGGCCTAGGTGAATTCTTTTCAAAACCCTCCCACCCTTTCTTATCTCCCATCTCCTTCGCACTCTTATTATGGTTCCATTTCACCTTTTAATATTTGACCTAATTTATTTATTTATTGAATTGCCTACATATACACACATATACATATACTATCTTTGTTATTCTTATCGCCACCTGTATAAACCTTATTATCGTTATTAATTTCGTTCAAAACATTTACCACATTAACATTATTATTATGTGATCCACAAAATCACCGTTATTGGTTAAAAAATTTTTATATATAAGTCTATGTAAATTAGCGTAGAGCCTGAAGAAGATCTAATTGAAAACAATATTGTTCGCTTATATGTCTTGTTCTAATATTACAAATGGGAATATTTAAAGATTTAAAATCAAAATAACAAAATGTGCTCACCATGGTAAGGTGATATTAATGGCATTTACTTTCTGAATGCATAGATTCGGTTTCAACCGTTTCATGCCAACTGCTTTACTGATAGGTAGTAAACTGAATTTGCCGTGAACTCTAATTATCTTAAATGGTTTTAATACATTAGTTTCACGACTGCTACTTATCAGATAACAATCAATCACACTGCTAGAGACTTTCGTAAATTTCAGACAAAAGTTTCGTAGAATTTGTTTAGATATGCACTCACAAACACTTCTTTCCTTTTGTCCAAACCATGTGCTTTGGCACGTATATGTAAATTGATATATGCTGTTAAAAGTAACACATAATGGGGGCATTTCAACCCCAGATTGCCACAGTATACAAATTATTTGGTAAATCTTCTATAACATGACAGCTAGCTAAGGTCATTTGAGGGCGGTATGTATTCTGTATTTAATTCTTCAGAATACTTCAGATAACAGCATTCGTCCCTGATTCTAGAATATTCTTGCAATTACCTCTGTAAACACTAACCAGCTAAACGATAACCTTAATTCCCTTCAATAATGCCATTTAATTGCGTGATATCAATGTTCTTCACATTAAAGATGAATAAAGTATTTAAATATTTTGTATATTAATATAAAAAGTTTTATCCTGGTAGGTTTTCCAGTTCTTGATTTATTTGGGTTCATTAAGGGAAATAATTGTCCTCAAGATAATGGCTGTGTAAGTCGGAGTTTCAACTGTAGAACAATCGCCAGCCATTCACAAGGGTTCGATACCCTGCAGTCAGGCTCGTAAAACTCGCATAGCTCGTAGTGAGACTGGTAAAGAGTGAGTGTTGGACGTGAGGCTGACAAACTCACTCTGTGAAAAGAAACACCACTTCCATTGAAACTTCACAGTTTTAGCTTGAAGCCCTATGTCCCACTCAGAACAGTAAAGGAATAAAACTAAAATAAAGAAATAAGATGTTGACTGCAGGATTGAAATAACTTTATACCGTAATGTTAAAAACGATTCATTAGGCTACGGAAGACATTTGGATCACAATATTGTCGAATATATCTCATACTCTACCACATTCTTACATTGATGAGTTATTCAGTGAACTGAAAATAAAATGAAAATAGATAAGCCAACAGTGAATCAGCACAATTTATGATAATTTACTTATATTCATCTCAGCTGTTGTTCCTTGAAAAATGAATGAGACATCTTGCTGTTAAAAGCAATCACTTTTGAACGATAATACATAAGTTAGCTAAAAATAAATAAATTGAAGATTTATAAATATATTTAAAAAAGACTCCTTTGGAATAACTATTACGTACAAGCGCGTTAGACACAAAATAATTTCATACAAATTCTAAAGTGTTCCTTTCTCCTTGGATAGTTTCTTCATGTTGCCTATAGTCACTTATCTTATGTTCAGCCTTCAATATGCATATAACATCTACTCTTGTTTCATACTCTATAGTGCCTGTCGTCAGGTGTGCAACAGATTATGATGAAGACTTGTGGTTGTCGTCGATGCTTTTGGTGTTGTGTTTTCGTACATTTCATTGCTAGCCACTGCCAGTCAGAGAAACAGCCATTAGAAGAGAAAGATCTTGAAATGTTTGTCTTTGATTTTTACAAGCACTTTTTATGGGCTTACTCTTAAAAGAACACCCCAGCATGAATGCTTCACAATGCTACACAGAATCCCTCAATACTGTACAAAGGGACTTCGTATACGCCATCTGTACGTAGCTGAAACATTAGCTATTCGGGCTCTGAAACGGGACTTCTGCATTCAAAAGCGCTACATACATTAACCCACTCTCTCTTGGCCAGAGTAAAGTTCTTATTGTAATTTCCCTTCTTTTTTATTATCTCATGAAAATGAATCGTCTAAAAGGATATTTTCTTCTCTGTTTTCGTCTTTTTCCAATATTGGAATATTTTGTTCATTGAAGAAACAAGGAATTATTTACAGAATTTCAGTGCATCGGAGAACTCACTAACTGACTGAGTTTCAAAGTAGAAATTTGCACAGAATTGTAGCAATTTCAGCTGCCACAATCAATGTAGAATTGGGATTTGGGGTAGAGGGACGGAAAGCATGTCACAGACGAGTATTTTAGACATTATCAACCACTAATTTCAACCCAGTCTAACTAAGGTGGATTAGTTAGCAACTATGAGACAATAGTTTATGTCGGAATATCTGGTACACTGAATCACAAAAATAAAACATGCTATTGAAAACGTAAATTCAAACACTGTGATCTTACCTGTATAATGAAATAAGACAAACATTTTTTTAAACGCCAGTTTTATACTCTTTAAGATTCTACTGATAAGAGTATAACAGTTTATATACCTCGACTTTATTTTAATAAAATCTTGATAAACGTAATTTGAAATTAATAAAATTCTGTTTTTTTTTTCACACATTTATTAGATATGTCTCCTTCACTTCGTGGAATGACGAAACCACAGAATATAAAACAAATCATTTGGACTGCTACAATTAGTACCTTTGTAGATTTCGATTGGAATAGCCAAGAACAAGCTAACAGACTGTTCATTACTGCTATAATTGTTGGTGTAGTCATGATTAGCTGTATCGGTGTAGTTGATTTAGGTGGGAAAATTTTAAAAATGCTTTACATCAACCCAGCTGTTTCATTATCTGATATTCAAAGATGGCGAAGTAATCAAAAGCTAACTCATGAAAAAGAATTGAGAAATTATGATCAAAATACTGAAAATATTATTTTAATATCACCTCAACCTGCACCAATTATCCCTTGGCCTTCAGATTTATTATTCAATGTAAATGGTAAACTAAAAACTACTCCATCGAAGTCTAATCCAACGTGTAGGCAAACATCAAGTCCAGGATCTTCTGTATCTATCCTTAAAGAACCAGAAGCTCAACTTCCATTGACTGCCTTTTACTTAGACTCCAATCTTGTTTTTACACCAACTAGTACACCACAAATTTACAATACCAGTAAACCTATTCAACTTGATGATGTATCACATTCCATACCTCTATTAATTGCTCATTCTCCATCATCTACCCCAATTATTGCACTGAAAACTGATCCATTATCCTCCACAAATCAACTCTCAGGAGTATTGTATGAGAAGACATGAATTATAATGTAAATGTTAGCCCTTCATTTATTTATTTGTAGAAGTTTTATGGACCAAATTATGTGTAAATGAATTCCAGTTTTCTTTCCAGTATTTTTGTGTAAATATTCTAAATGTTACTCCTAAATATTTTTATTGTGTACTGCATAATGTAAAATTATATGAAATATTAGGTTACTGGATCAGACACTTGTACATAGGAACTGAGTTTGTAGCAATAAATAAAATGAATTCGTTTAAAAAATACAAAGATTTACAAAAAAAAACAGAAAATTTGCTCATCCATGAAGTATTCTATTCGCTCAAGATAGATATAAACCACTGTTAGTAATCTTATTTATAAAATCCTATAGAGAAGTAGTCATACTACTAGTTTCATGGTCATATTTATTTGGTGGAGACACTTATAGGCAACTACATAACTGATCACTTTAGACTAGGCATTATTACTGACAAAAAAACAAGTACCTCTTCCAAACTCAAATATAACTTTCAATTGGATCATGAATTGATTTAAGTTAGGGAACCACTGAAAACAAGGGATCACCAGACAGGTGTTTCGTCCTAAATTGTGAATCTTCTTTAGTACGCACCCGTAAAATCCCTATGGGTCAAACTCAGAACCTATAGGTTCGGTGTGGTGATAAATACTCGTAAACGACATTGGCTGGCAGTGACAGTAAAAATCATTAATTGACAGAAGTTAGAACTGATGGGCAATTGGATTCCATCCTAGTGGTTGAACAGTCACCACTCCACTGGGAACATGAAGGAATAAATAATAATAAAAATTGTGGGATGGAAATATAAGCAGCAGTGTAAAGAAAGACAGCACTTTAGGAAAATTAGGTCTATATAACATAGATATTCGCAGACTTAATATAATTTTAAGTATATTAAACAGGCACAATTACAAATCAGTATTATTATGTAGGAATGATTGAATTATAGACTGGGATTCTCATTATTCTCTTCCAACCAAAAACTGCCATACATGACTGTTTCAGTAGATGCTAATGTAAATTTATCTCTCATTTTATTTAAGGTAACATAAATATTACGAGAAAGCATTGACAAAATGTATCTAAGTCCAAACATTTGTGTAAAACGTGCGAAACTACTTAGTACATTTGTAAGTAGTTTAAACTTTTAAAAGAAGATTAACCAACATGTATTGGTAGTATAGTATGGGCATATTATTATTATTATTATTATTATTATTATTATTATTATTATATACTATAATTCCTAGAGGAACATAGAGCTTCAGCCACGCGTATCCATTCCCAACTGTTTTCTCCAACTTTTTCACCCCGCCCCAAGTCTGCCCACATGCTTTCATCTCCTCTTCATATGACTTCCTCCAAGTCACCCCACCCTCGAACTGACGACCAACGAAATCACCTCTTCCCTTTCGGATTCCACTCGAGCAATGGCTTGTCTAGGGATGTCACTTGATGGCGTGTTTCCTCAGAGTATGGTCAGCCAATCCATCTCCATTTCTTCCTGCCTATTTGTTTCACAATCGGTTCCTGATCGGTTGATTCGCTCATTGCCAGAGATCCCTCACTATTGCTGATCTCTTCTGGCCGGCCATCTGATCCTGAGTATTGAGCGAAGACAGCTGTTAATGAAGGTCTGAAGTTTGTTTGAGATGCTCTTTATGACGCGATGACCAAGTCTCTGATCTGTATAGTGAGTAGCACTGACTGACTTCACATTGGAGTTGAAAATCCGGATATTATTTTCGATGCTGAGTAGTGCTGTTGACCTCCACACAGACTTAAGAGTAATGAAAGCTCGCCTTGCTTCTCCGATTCTGGCTTTGGTATCCTCGTCAGTTCCGTCAGCCTGTAGTTGAAACGATGTTTCCCAGGTCGGTAGGTAGGTAAAGGAGGTTGTTTCTTTCAGGTTCCTCCCATTTAGGCTGGCTGATTGTTGTCTGTTGTTGTAGTTGTGGCTGTTGGTGTTGGCCAGGAATCTTCATCACCTCTGTTTTATCTATGTTCACCTGAAGGAAGTCCTATCTTTGATGCCTCTTAGGACAACTTGTTGCTTTTCACTTGCATATCTTCCAGTTTGTGGGAAATCAGACATATATCATCGGCGAAGTCCAGATCCTCCACGTTCTTTTTTGTGTGAGTCCATTTTATGCCTGTTTCCTCATTGCCCGTTGTCTGTCGCATTATCCAATCTACTGCAAACAGGAAAATCATTGGCGATAGTAGACAGCCTTGTCTCACTCTCGTGCTTACTTCGAAGGCTTCCATAAGTTTCCCGTCGTGGATCACTTGGCATGCAGCATTGTCATATAACTGTTGGATGAGATGTATAATTGTCGATGGGACCTCCTAGTAGCGAAGTAGTTTCCAAATCACCTCTCGGTCGACGCTGCGCTATCGAAGGCCTTTTCAAAGTCGATGAAGTTGAGTGAGGTGGAGAGGTGACTGCCATTCCAAGCTTTGTTCAATGATGATCCGTAGAGTGGCGATTTGATCAATACATGACTTGTTTCTCCTGAATCCAGCTTGTTCCGGTCGAAGTTTTTCATCCAGGTTGGCGTGTTTGATTCTCTCCAGGATGATACGGCTTAGTAGTTTGCTTGGAATGGACAGGAGCATAATTCCACGCCAGTTTTTACATTGACTTAAGTCTCCTTTCTTTGGTAGTTTGAATAAGTATCCTTTCTTCCAATCCTCGGGTACTTTGCCCTCTTTCCACATCTTCTCCAGCAGTGGCGTCATCAATTCCGTTGTTGTCTCTGGGTCTATTTTCAAAGCTTCTGCTGGGATTCCATCTGGTCCTGCTGCTTTTCCATCTTTTAGCATCTTGAATGCATTCAGGACTTCTGATTTCGTCGGGGGTCGATGTTTACTGGTAATTCTGCTTCCCTTGTTGGTATCGTTGGGCAAGTTGTAGGTGGCGGACGATTTAGAAGTCTTTTGAAGTGTTCAGCCCAGTGTTTTCTCTGCTCCACCGCTTTGGTGATTGACTTTCCATTGTCATCCTTCACTGGCTTAATCTGTGTTTAACTTTCGCCCGATAGGTGCCTACTTGTTTGGTAGAGTGTGGCGAGGTCTCCTTTGCCTGCACTGCAGCTTGTTCCGCTTCACTTTCCATGGTTTCATAATATTTTCTTTTGTCTTCCCTAGCACTCTTCTTCACTCTTTTCTTCGGCGTATTGTAGCTTGCATTCAACTCCTGTTTCTGTTGCTCGTCGGTGCACTGGATAATCTTTTGTTTCACCGTCCTTCTCTCTTCTATTAGTTTCCAAGTGTCCGTAGTGAGCCACTGTTTGTCTTGTCTCTTCTTTCTGCCTAGAACTTCCATGCAGGTTTGACTCCACACCGTTTCCAAGTTGTCCCAGTGCTTTTCGACGCTGACCTTTTCACCGGTGTTGATTTGTGTCTTACCTTTTTGCCTTATGCTTGCAATGAAGATGTCCTTTGTAGCCTGGTCCTTCAGCTTTTGAGTGTTGAACTTGGCTTGTGGTCTATCTGCAGCTCCTGATTCCCTGAAAGCTTTTAATTTGATTTGGATTGTCCCTTCTACGAGATAGTGGTCTGAGCCAACGTCTGCTCCTCTTCTTGCTTTTGTGTCCAGTAGGCTGTGCCGTCACTTCCTTGAGCAGCATTGAGATGAAGTCAATTTGGTTTTTGGTTTGCCCGTCTGGTGACACCCATGTAGCCTTGTGGATATCTCTGTGTTTGTATACGCTGCCACCAATCACTAGTTCGTTGAAGGCGCAGAAGTCGGCGAAGAGTTCTCCGTTTTCATTCATTTCTCCAAGAGCTTCTCTACCGATGATGAGTTCCCTTCCTGTGTTGTCTGGTCCCAGTTTGGCGTTCATGTCTTCCATTAGTATTTTCATGTCGCCAGGTGGAGTATTGTCCATTGTTGCCTGCAGTTGTCTGTAGACTTCTTCTTTCTGTTCGAGGTCTGCGTTTTTGTGGGTGCATAACATTGTATAATTGACACTTTCCTTCCTTTGGAGTTGAATCTGGCGGTCATTATCCTGGACGAGATCGCCTCCCACTGCATCAGGGCCTTTGTTGCCGTTGGTGGGCATAAAATGGCGTTTATGTAAATATGCGGAAGTGCATGTGCCTTCATAAAGCCTTCTCATATTCATAAATTATAGTTCACAGAGTATATGAACAAAAGCATTTAAAGCTTCATTTTTACAGTATTCTTTTGGAATAAATATATCTGACCACGTTGCATTCAACACCTTAAATAATAGAATATCTGTCAAGAACTGCAGTACATTCAATTAGGGTAATTAAGAAATTATCCAAACAAAATCTTCCTATTATGTGACATTTTTACGGTCCACTTTACTTTTGAAGAGACATGTATAAGTATCCGGTAAAAAATTAAGTCAAGATACAATAAAGTTTACATTTTGATCACAAAGTCAGGAAGTTATTACGCAGATATATATGTAGTTATTATTATTTCTCTACCCTAATCGTTAAGATGTCTAAAAGTTTTGTATAACTTGACCAAATGATAAACTTTATCTGTTATGATTTAATTGAAATGAATAAACCAGTTGCTACTTTGCTATGTCTACGCTTGTGATTACTATTGTGGTGAGAGCAGGCTGCTAGCCGATTGGTTGGCACTAATCTACGTTAAGGTCTAGGTCACTAATATGGGCCGTGAGAAAATATGAACAAGCCTGAGTCAACAACCAATCACAGCAAAGTTAACGTGGCAAAATATGATTCGCAGAGAGAACTCTATTTGTCAAGGAATCCCGAAACAACCAATCAGAAGCCTGCGTTTGTCTACCTAAACAACCAATCAGATGACTGCGCTTGTCTATAATAATGTAGTTGAAAGATGTATAAATACGTGTTGATTTTCATAATAAAACGATCTGTTGCCTGGCCCTTGTCTTCTGTTGTTACATTTGGTGTCGCTGCCTACCGACAAATGAAAAGCCTATACCCTGCAGTTTTTGATGGAGACATATGGATCTTCGGGCAGGACTTCAAGGCTTCTGCGCAGTTGAGTGGCGTTCAAGATCTGTCAGCGATGGAGCTGCTACTTGAGACGCTGCTGGGAGGTCGGGCGAAAGCAGCATATGAAGGTGTGGGCCGAAGTATGGACGAATGTTCGACAGGGTCAGGCAAACAGTTTCCAAAGTGGGAAGGACCATATATGGTCACTTCGAGATGGGGTTACGCAGACACAGTCGCAATGGCGAACAATGAGAGGCGCGTGAACGTCAGCGAGCTCCAGAAATGGATACAGCGAGACAAGCCAACGATGACGCCTGCACCAAGTAGATCAAGCCGTTTTCAGTCGCACGTATTTGACGGGGGGACGAGTGTGGTGAGAGCAGGCTGCTAGCCGATTGGTTGGCACTAATCTACGTTAAGGTCTAG